GTGGGCATTCTATACGAAGACTTATGCATTGAAAACCTATGCTATGAGCCTTGCTGTGGAGTAAATATGTGTGTTGCAAAGTCTTTCCAGTAATATGTAGATTAATTTATTGTTTTCCTGCTTGTCAACTTACCCACTACATTCTTGTATAAACCCAGAGATTGCATCTCATGGATTTCTTTTAAAAATTATTTTTCTACCTTGTGGATTTTTTGTACCTTGCAGGTGCACTTCTGCTGGAAGATCTAATATCTAACTGTGGGACCGAAGGCATCAAAGCAGTGATCGAGTCTGTAATAACGCGAAGAAATGAGTCCCAACAGGCGAAAGATACTGGCTCTCGTGGTTGGTGGAAAGTAAGTCGAACAAATTCATGACTTGATTTACTGCAGAAAAATGTTGTATGGACATTGTAACTTGCTAAACCGGTTTGTCAATTTATGTTTTTTCCTTTAAAATCATTTAACTTGTCAACGTGCTTGCAGTTAAGGGAGGCTGCCCTGTATGCTTTGGCTGCTTTGGCTTCTGAAAAATTGTTGCTTGATGACATAGAGGTTAGACCTTGCCCCTTGACATTCATTTTTGATCTCTATTCTGTATAGTGCTGGGTTAATAGTTTGTTTAATGACTATGTTCTGATTTCTTAGGTTTCTGGTTCCACTGTTGGAGATATGCTACGGAAAATTTTAATTGAGGACATGGCAGCAGGTGAGACGAGCACTATCAGATGTATTGAGAATTCTTTTCCTGCTGGTTCAATCTGTACTTTGTTTTGTTTTTGTTTTTTTTTTTTGTTTTTTTTGTTTTTAATTATAAATATCCCAGTTTATTTGCAGGCTTCCATGACTACCCCTTTCTTTGTGCCCGCTTATTTTTGTCTGTTGCAAGATTTTCTTTCATGGTAATTAGTGAAAACTGAAAGCCTCCCTTTTCCTCTGCCTGCCTTCATTATCCTAAACACAGCTCTTTCATCTTCCTGCAAGATCTCATTTGGTTTTAATTATGTGGACAGATGAACAACCAAGTAAGAGATGACTTCGTACGTGCTGCTGTTGAGACAGTTGCTGTTAAGACAGTTGGAATGGATGTGTAAGATCTTGGGTTTTTTTTTTTTGGTTTTTAAACTCCCCAACATGATGTCACTCATTATTCCTTCTTTTACAGACCTCCACTAGTTAAATTTGGTGCTTGTCGAGCTTTATCTCAGCTTTTACCAGATGCCACCACCGGATGTGTTCAACAGGACTTATTATTGTCACTTATAGATCTTCTGAAAAATGTAAAGTGAAATGTACCTGGTGTGTGTTTTTTTCCCCGGTTTCCAGATTTGTTTAATATTTAATCATATATGTTTTTATTTTCTTTGCAGGCCTCTGATGGAACTATGCATTTAGTACTTGCTACTCTGCAAGCAGCTGTCGCAGCTGGTTAGTGCAATTAAACTTCAAGTTTGATGTGTTGTTTTAGTTTGATTTGGGGATCCGATACTCACCAGGAGAAGCTCACTTTGTGTATTTTCACTTACAGGTCATGAAGCTACAGCCTCAATAGAGCCAAATTTATCTAGTATCATGCTCAACATGTGGGATTCCCATGTTTGTGACCCGTTCATCAGTATAGATGCTCTAAAAGTTTTGGAGGTAACTTTGAGTTATAAATATATAATATATATATACACACACACACACTTCTATTCGTTTACCCATTTCCCATTGTTGGAAATTAGGATTATGTGGGGCATGTCAATGTATTTCGTATCTGTCTCTGCTGTAAATTAGCATATTTCTTGAAGATGCATTTGACTCCCCAAAACCTTACAATTGTTTTAGTTGTCTGTAAATTATTGCTGACAATATGTTTTGGAACCCTGAGTGCTTTTCCAAAGGTCAACCATGCTGTTTTTGGACATTTTCTCTGATTATTTGGAAACATCCTTTGTATGCTTTCTGCAGAACAATATCAAATGTTTCTTATTTGAAATTTTTCATGATCGACAGTTTAAGTTAACGTGAGCTGAAATTTGTAACTTCTGGTGTTCTTTAAGAGATTCTTTACTGCCTTGTGTTTTGCACCTTTTCAGGCCATAATAAAGGTCACTGGGTGCACTCGTTCGCTGTTTTTCATAGTTTTCCCCTACATCGAGCCAATCCTCAATAGTGTATGCCAAGCTTTCCCTATCACTAATAATGGAAGGAAAATTATTAAACAATAGATATTTGTATTTTGTCATCGTCACATGATACTGTTTACATTTTTCAGCCTCAAATAGAACGCGATGGTTTAGTTGCAGGTTCTTTAGATCTTGTCACAATGCTGATAAAGGTAACAAGCATTTTTACATTATGATTGGTGTTTGCATATTATGATTTGTATAGTGCTTACGACTGCAACATATTATTTAATTTATTTCGCAGAACGCCCCTGTTGAAGTGGTAAAAGCACTCTTTCAAGTTTCATTTGATCCTGTCGTGATAATAGTTCTCCAGAGTACTGACTATAGAAAAATGAAGGTTAATTTTTATATTCACTTACCTTAAAACATGTAATTAGCTTCTATATTAAAATATGAAATTAACAGCGGGATGATACATGTATAACAGAATGCAACCCAATGCTTAGCTACACTTGTGTCTGTTTGGAAACAAGATATGCTTTCTTGGTCTGGTGATCCTGGTTCCACGATGAGAAGTTTGCTGGATGTAGCTTGGAGGTGATGTGCTCATTTTTGTTAGTGTGTATGGCC